ACACACACACACACACACACATATATATATATATATATATATATATATTTAAATAAAGATTTGAAAATGGCTAGCTATCGCAAAATATATACCATACCTGTTGTGCTAGTATGAGCACAGCTTTGGCTTCGTCCACATAGTCCTCATCTAAGTCGCTCATATCGTCAGAGCTGGTGTATACGATCCCCTGGGTATACTTCACATATATGTCTGGAACTACTTTTGAATATGTTTCGCATGAACCAACTGCGATACTTGATCCGTGTGTCGTTTATTTCTGTAATAATAGCGAGTTAATACCGTGGCAGTCTTCAGCATCAAGAGGTTATTAGTATGTATTCAGTACAGTATCGATTCATATAGTTAACACCCTAGTAGAAATATATGGAGGAATGAGATGTACAGAATTCCTGTAGCCTCCGGAGGCCAAATACGATATTTTCATAAAATATACATATTTACATTGGACAGATCGGACAGGTTTTTTTTCTGGAAAATCTCTACTATAGTAGAGACTACAGTACATAATTACACATAATTATATTATAAAAAAACATTGTGCAAACTTATATATATATAATACAAAATACATAGCCTCTCATTATGTTTCTATTACAGGGCTATGCAACATACAGTTTGTTTACACTTTATGCTCAACGAAGTGGCGTATAGATGATGTGCCAAGTATCCTGTGACGCCCTCTAGAGCCGGTACTTTATGAATGGGAATCTGATTGTGTACACCTCTACATCTTTCTTAACTACGTACAGGAAAAGCTGAATAGTTCGGGTGTGAGTTGGGATTGGTGTAGACGTAACAAGCAGAGTTGAGTGTGTCATTCTGATTCAAATTGGGATAACCCATAGCCTACTAAATCAAACAAACCATTATAAAAATTTCTGCTATTGCATGCTTTAGATTTTTCTAAAGAGTTACATCTTAGAAACGTATAAAGTGTAGCCAACATTAAAGAAAGCACATAGCCCCGAATTGCCTTTTTATATCTCATTTTTTTAACGTCAATATATGAGTTCCCGCTCAGCGAACGAATATCTACATGAATATTAAGTTTTAATGTCAGTATATCTCGTAAAGGTAAAACAGTATAGTTTTCCACAAATCGAAGGGGTATCTTAATGAGTACACTTAAATACCAGAGTGTGCAGTTTTACATGAACGAACTATTTGTTTCACGTTGCAAGTTAGTTATACCACCAATATTTACGTGCAAATGAGCAAGTGTGGAAGTGATAGCCATCCATCGATAATATGCTATGGGTTTCCACTAAGCGAAAGAGTATCTATTCAAGTATTTAGATCCTTTTAGCAAAGCCCCCTGCCGGATTCTAAAATATACACCAGTACGTTCCTTGGAAGATTGAAGCGATTTGTCAAGAGCGGTCGTGCATATTATCGATGGATGGCTATCACTTGCACGTAAAACGCAAAAAAAAAAGTCTTTGATGTAAAACTGTACAAGTTAATCTGAGTACAACCTATAAAGTATCCAGTCCTTTCATTAACGCAGTCGTATGGTAAAGCATGCGTGTGCGTGTGTACACGCGTGTGTTTGTAAGTGTGAGATTGACTATATGTACATAGATTTATATATGTACGCTCTCGTCAATTTATTTCGTACATCTCAGTTTTGTTTTGATTCGTTGACTAAAAGAAACTAGTTATGGATCTAAACGATCGCTTTACCTCCAGTATGCATAGACGTTTAGTACGTACTGTTTGGACGCCTAATCACAATGTGTGAGAGGGGGTTCTTCTGTATATATTACGTAGTTCAGATATACTATTACGTATACTTTTAAAAACCTTGCATATTTTATTTTATTTTAATAAACTTAGAAGCTCGTAGATTGTAGACGTATGACTTACCTGCGTGCATACTTATGTACTACAACGGATCCAAAAATACTATAAATGGGCACTTCTGTGAACATTTACTCGCTAACTTTCATACTACATATATACACTATTGCTCGTATACGCATATGCATTAGTCTGTAGTTATATATATATATATATATATATATTATGTTGTATACGTCTAAAGTGTAGTCTTGCTTGATTGTAAGTGCCGTTCTACAAATTTTCGGTCACATTGTACACTAGTCCTCTCCGTTATAGAACACCCTTTCATTGGCAAAATAGCAAACGGAATCAGCACTTATCGTTTCTTCGTCTGTTTTAGGGTTCGTTCCCAGTTTACCACCAATCACGCGCTCTGATACACCCTCAAATATCGACCGGGCACTCAACACGGATATGGCGTAGTAGATCCGCAGTATAGCGTACCAAAGCACTCGTGTGAGCAGCAAATGCTCTCACGTTGAGCATAGAAAGAACTATTCATATCATGATTCAGTACCACAGCCGGTTAATATATCGAAAACCTTCATCCACGATACAAAAGCCAGCTACCTCTGAGACCCCCAATCCCCCATGTTCTGTACCGAATCTGCAAAATATGGATTGAGCGTAGATTTCTAAAGTATGAAGATATAGTAACCTAGCAATGTCCCGAGTCGGCGCTGTCTTGGGTCGTGCAGGAGATGTAACCCATACCACCGGGATTGCTTTAGGCTGTGAGTCGTAAATGGACACATGATTGTTAATTGCTGTAACGGGATGTGGAGATACATTTCCGGTGTATTGTTTCTGGAGCTATCAATTTGACTAAAAATGAAAACAAACATTAAATAAAGCTTGGAATAAAGCTATACAGCGCTAGGTATGACAGGTATAACGAGTAAATTATGGGTCGGAGTACAAATTGAACAGATACTGTTCATCCCGATACATGATGAGACTACAATAAACATTTTGACAAAGTGCAAGGCCAAGTGCTTTCCGGCAATAGCGTTCATTTCCAAAACGCATATTGCACAATACAAATTGATCATCGAAAATAACTGCAAGTCTAGATTCCTATGGTGACACGAATGGAACACCATGTATGTTCGAAGTCAAGAATACATATAGTCGACAAAAACGAAGGTGAAGACTCCCTACATGCACGTCGATCCAATTTCAAAATAATTACATATGTAATTTAAGATGGACAATATAAACAATCACGTGTATATATAAGTTTATATATATAAATCACATGTATCTATAAGTTTATGTATATACATATATAAAACTATACACACACATTTATACTATATATATTAACTATAGTATATAAATATATATACATATATATATATATAAATAACATATGTATATATATATATATAAACACACACACACACATATATATATATATATATATATAAATAAACACACACATATATATATACATAAATATATAGATATATATATATATATTCAAATATATAAATATATGC